CAAGCCGGGAGGCCCCTGCGGGGCGCTGGGCTCCCCGGCACCCCGCCCTCCAGCCTGCCCCCAGCGCCCCCACTGCCCCTGCCGGAGCAGGAGCCCCCACGGGGAGCGGCCCCCTCACTGATGGCCGCCCCGCCCGCCCAGGCCTGGAAGGAGCCCCTCCCGCCAGGCTGGCCTCCCGGGCCCCCACCCTGAGCAGACGTGCCCCTCTGTGCTCAGGGGTCCGCACCTGCTCGCGCCCACACCCCCTCTGCCCCCAGAGGCCCTGCTCCCCGAGGGGCCGCTCCAGGCCCGGTCAGGGCTCCCACAGCCAGCTGGGCTGCGGCGGGGGCAGGGCACTCACATGTGGGGAGACGCCCCTCAGACCTCTCCCGTGCCAGCGCTGCCCACCGCCCTCCCTAGGAGCCAGGCAGAGCGCAGTGTGGCCGGACGGGCCGCAGCCACCCTGGACAGCAGGAAACGCCCTGGGCCATCTGGTTCGGGGCTTCCCACGGGCGCCCTTCAGGGTCCCTGGAGCGTCAGGTGCAGCCCTGGGGCCCCAGCCAGACCCGCAGGGGCAGCCAGGAGGGAGTGCTCCCGGCAGGCCGGCCCCGCCCACACCTGGCTCCCCTCAGGTCCCTCTGGGCGGGCAGCGGCTGTGTCCTTGCTGACACATGGTCCCCCAAGTGGTCTGGGCCCCTGCGGCCAGCGCTGGCGCGGCGTCGCGCCCGCGTGATGTCCTGGGCACACCGGAAGGCCCGGCAGGCTGGCCCCTTGGCGACAAGCGGGCAGGAGCGTGAGCAGCACGGGGCGAGGACCCCACCCCCTCCTGGGCGCCACCCACAGGCATCTCGGTCTCCCTCCCGCATGGACAGCCACGGGTGTGGACAGCCACGGGGGACCGGAAGGAAAGCACCGGCCGCGCCTGGAGGCACGTTCCTCCGGCAGGAGCTGGGCCCGCGGCACCCTGCGCGCAGTCTCAGCGGCAGAGCTCTGGCTGGGTCGCCACGGTCACTGTGGCCTCGGGCAGGGGCATGGGGAGGACGAGGAGGACTTCCCGGGAGGGCCAGGTGGAAGTGGGCACAGGCACGGTCCCCGCCGGCCTGCTGCAGAGACCTGGCCCGATGCCTCCCGGCTGCCGCCTGGCCAGAGCCCCGGGCACACCTGCCAGGTCGGGCAGGCCGAGCGGCCGGCTCCGCTGAGGCCGTGGGGACGCTGCCTGGTGACGGGGTGTGACTGTCTCGCCCGGCCTCTCCACACCCCAGCCTGTGCGCCACTCTGTGCCCAAATGCCCCTTTACTGGACGCCCTCATGGTCGCCTCAACCCCTCCCCTAGGTCCTGATCTTACCTACCACCACCCGAAAATGGGGCCCGAGGGCTGGTGGCTTCAACATAGGATTTCTGGGAAACGGGGCACACCTTTGCCCAACCCCCCACTCTCGGTGTTGCTGCTCCCCGGGGCACTCTGCCGCCCTGCCTGGCTGGCTCCCTCTTTCTCGTTGAGGACGCCTGCTAATCTGTGGGTTCGTGGGGCAGCGTGGGGGCGCGCCTCGGCCGCGTCTGCGTGGGCGGCGCGTGGGTGGAGGGTGGAGGCTGGTGGAGGCTGGTGGAGCAGGGGGGTGGACGGGTGGACGGGTGGACAATGGCAGGAAGGAAGGGTGGGGCGCAGGCAACCCGAAGCAGAGCCTCGTGGCTGGAGAGGTCCTGAGGCCAGCCCCGCCGTCAGCGCCCCAGAGGTGAGAGGGGGCTTCCGCCACCCCCCAGTGGCCCGCCCCGTCTGTGTAGCGGGCAGGGGGCGTGCGTGGGCCACTCAAGTTTCAAGGGTGGGGATGCCAGTCAGCTGCTCTGCCAGATGTGGTGTCCTTCCTGGACCACGTCCACGGTTGCTACCCAGCAAACGCCCCCTTCCCACTGACCAGGAGGCCTGGAGCGGCGCATGTGCTCCAGCGGGGCTGCCCGCCTGCCCCCGCCGGCCGCCCAGGCTCACGCGCGCTCTGTGCGGCCACGCGCCGGCCCCCGAAGGCCGCAGGTGTGTCGGTGCTGCCTCGGCAGCGGCACAGACCCAGCACCCGGCGACACTCGAGACGCTGAAGGAAGACGCGCCGGCCCGGGGGACTCACACGGCCCTCGGGGGCCTCCCTGGCCGCTGAGACTCGAGGTGTGGCCGCTCGGAAGGCCCAGACGCGTGCGCGCGAGCCAGGGGACAGCCACGCCGCGGGCGCCAGAGGCGGAGATGCCTCGTGACGGGCGAGCCACCAGGGCGTCCTCTTGTGCTTCAAGTAACAGAAACCTGGAATCGAAACAGTGACGTGGCCGGGGGGGTGGGGGGGGTGTTCAACCGGAGATGGGAGGGAGTTGGGGGCGGCTGTGGCGCTTCCGGAGGTTCAGCTGGAACCCGAGTTCTAGTTTCCCGCTCCGTGGACCAGCGTGCCGCGTGCACTCCTGCCTCACTTCCCTGGGTTGTTTTTTTTGAAGATTTATTTATTGATGCACACAAGAGCTGGGTGCGGGCCAGAGGTGCGGGTGAGAGGACTCCCCAGAGACAGAGCGGGGAGCAGCACAGGCAGATCCACTGAGACACACTGCCGAGGGGAGCAGCGGGGAGACAGGTGGGGTCTGCCGCGCCCTGGGGGTCACTCCCTGGCCGGGGATGGACTCAGACACAGAGGCTGGTCCAGCTTCACAGTGCAGAGACTGACCCCTGCACCCAGGGAGGCCCATTTCCCTGTTCTTGGCAGGACCTAGGATAACGGGCCGGGGTAGGGATGAGGAGGGACAAAAAGGACTTCCCGGAGGGCCTCCCTGGTGGCGCGAGGGGTTGGCACAGCACTGTGAAGCCGTCCGCGGTTCAATCCCCGGCCGGCCAGGGAGCAACCCACAGGGCGCAGCAGACTCTCCTGTCTCCCCGCTGCTCCCCTCAGCAGTGTGCGTCGGTCAGTCTGCCTGTGCTGCACCCCGCTCTGTCTCTCACTCACCCCCCGCACCTCTGGCCTGTACCCCAGCTCTTGTATTCATAAATAATCTTAAAAAAAAAAAAGGCCTTCCCGAAGCCCCCGCCAGCCCGCACGTCCGTCTTGCTGGCCACTCTCGCGGCATAGAAGGTTGGGGGGGAGGAGCAGACGGACTCGGGGCTGGCAACCCCCCTCCCCCCAGGGTCACAGGGCGCTGCTCCTGTCCAAGGAGGGGCAGTCCTGAGTGTGCCCCAAGCGAGGCAGGCTGAGCCCCACGGTGTCCCCTTCTGCTCGCCTGCCGGCCCGCGGGCCTGGCTGCTGCGGGAGACTGGGCCAGCCCTAGCAGGGAGCGCGGGCCCAGGCTGGCACAGCCGCAGCCCTGGAGGATATTCCCACGGCCCTTTGAGATGGTCTCTGGCTCCAGGGGTGGCACTTTGAACACGGGAGCCCACGACTGTGCCCCACGACTGTGCCCCCCGCTGTGTGGGCCACGCTGCCCAGGACAGTGGGGCACTGCCTGCCAAGGGCAGGGGGTAACGTCACGCAGGGGAGTGTGCAGGGCAGGTGCTGCCGGGCAAGTCCTCCCGCTCGCTGCCCGCGCTACACGACAGGGGACCTGGCTGGCTGGAGCCCAAGGGGGCAGGAGGGGAGCAGTCAGTGATGACGACAGCACCCAAAGGCTGGCAGGGCCCTCGGGGCGCCCCCTTCCAGGGAGCCCCCGGCTGCTGCCAGTGGAGAGTGGCAGGCCCCCAGGAGGACAGCTGTGACCAGAGAAGGGCAAGGCGGCCATGTCCAGGGTGGCGACACGCTGGCCTGGCATGGACCCCACTTGTCCTGCCTGGACACTGCCCAGTAAGTGGGCGCTGCTCCTGCTTGGCCTCCCCTGCTACCTCCCCCAGGCGTGGGGCAGTGCCCCTCCCACACCCCCCCCAGCAGCTGAGGCAAGAAAGGGGGGACCCTGTGCCCCTGGCAGGCAGCGCCAGGGAGACTCGGGCAGACCTGAAAGGGGGGTGGGCACAGTTCCAGCATGTAAGGGCCACGGCGAGACGCGGCAGCACCCCCTCCCCTTCTGGAAAGGAGGTCTGGGGCTGGTGCTCTTAGTGCAGGCGGGTGGCCGTGCCGTTTTGCTCTCCACCTTCTTTGGGTGTCTGAGCCCCCTTCCCGAGGCCCGCAGCGCTCCTCGCCCGGCGGGCATCCCCGGGGCGCCCAGGCCCGGGCCTCCCGTGGGCAGCACCCGCTCCCTCTGGACGGCACCGCCGGGCCCACGACCCCGCCGGCCAGGCCGGCCCCAGCGTGAGCGCGGGGCCCTGTCCTGCCCCGGCCCGGCCGGAGTCCTGGGGCGAGGGGTCCACGCAGAAGGGGGTCCACGCTCTCCAGCCGGGACCCCCGAGGGGGCAGCTCTGTGGGGTGCAGCCCCGCCCTGCCGCTGCTCCCCGCTCTCCCACGGCCCCGCGAAGCAGCAGCCCGGGGCCCCTTCCGAGGTGCCCACTGCGGGGGGCCGACCCCCGCCGCCGCCGTCCCGCCTCCCCTGCCCGGGCCGGGCTCCGCAGGCCGCTCGGGCTCCGGCTCGGCGGGGCTGGGCGGCGGGAGGCCGCGTGACCAGGCTCGCGGCAGCCCCCCAGCTCTGCGGGCCTCGCGGCGAGCCGCCCGGCACCGGCCCGCAAGTCCCTCTCTCCGCGACGGCCATGGGGGCCCCGCCGACGGCCGCGGCTGCTCGCGGAGCCCCGAGCGTGGGGAGCCGGCGGGCGGCGCGCGGGGCGGGCGGCGCGCGGGGGCCGGGCTGCCTCCCGGCGCGGGGTCAGGGTGGGCGCGGGCAGCCGGGCGGGCGGACGGGGCGGCGGGAGGGGCGGCCGGCCGGGCGCCGGGACCGTCCGGGAGGCAGGGCCAGCCGCGTGCGGGGGCGCGGGCCGGGGCCGCGGCGGGAGGGCGCGGGCGGGCGCGGCGCAGGCGCGGGCGGCGGGACTACACTTCCCGGCGGGCAGCGCGGCGCGGCGCGGCGCGGCGTCACTTCCGGCGGCGCGCGTGCGGGAGAGTGCGGGCGCGTGTTTACTTCCGGCCGCCGCCGCCGCGGGCCAGCGCCGAGGGCCGAGCGAGTCGCGGCGGGCGGCGGGCCCCGCGCAGCCATGGACTGGCTCATGGGGTGAGCGGGCCGGGGCCGGGGCCGGGGCGGGGGCCGGGGCGGACGGGGCGGGCCGGGCGGGCGGGTGCGGGCCCCGCCGGGCGTGGGCGGGGGCGGGTCTGGGCCGGGCCGGGCCGGGCGCTGGCCCAGCCGGACGGGGCCGGGGCGCGGCGCGGGGCCGGCTTCGGGCCGGGCGCGCGGGGAGGGCCAGAGCGCGCCGCACCTGGGCCGGCGCCGGGGCGGGGCCCGCGGGCGGCGCGGGCGGCGCGGGCGGCGGGACGGAAGCGCGAGGCCCGGCCGGCGAGCGCCTGTCCCGTGCGGCGTCCGCGCCGGGCGCCGAGGCCGGGGCAGGGCGGCGACCCGCGCCGGCTCTGGGGGGCGGCCCTCCCCGGCCGGGCGCGTGGTGCCGGCCCCTGCGGGGGGAGCGGGCACGGAGGCCCCGGGAGCGTCCGGGGACCCGCCGGCCGTGGGGCCGGGCGGGGTGCCCCGGGGAGCCGGGCGGCCGGCGCTGGCCGGAGGGGGTGGGGTCCGGCGCAGCGAGCAGGACAGCCGCGGGGAGGCCAGAGACCTGCCCAGGAGGCGGGGTGGGTGGTGACTGGGGGCGCGGGGCACTGCCGGGGGCTGGGAGGGCGCCCCGGCCCCCCTCCTGCTGCCCTGGCGCCTGTGGGGTGCTCGGGCAGGGCTGGGCGCTGGGGAGGTGGCTCGGGACCAGGCTGACCCCGCGCGGGCGTCGGGAGAAGTCTGCCGCGGCCTGGGAAGGGGCTCCGGGAGGGAAGCGCGGGGAGTGGGCCCCGGGGTGTCCACGAGTGGGGGCCGGCCTGCGGGGGCGGTGCGGGCGCCGCGGCCTTTTCCACTGCCCAGGCGCCGTCTTGTGCACCAGCCCCCATCCTCCTGCGGATGCCCGGTCTGACCGCAGCTGGCTGGGGGGGCCCCTTCCAGAGGCCCTCAAGAGACTGGTCTCCGGTGCCCCAGCCTGGCCGCAGCCCGCACTGGGGCTGGGGGCGCCCTGTGCTGGCGGCTGGGGGCCGTGCCCAAGGAGGACCCTCCTGTGGACCCCGGCCCAGGTGGTGCTCCAGGGCTGCCTTCAGGCGCTCTGGGGATGGTGTGGGAGGCCCCCGCTGCCCGAGTTGTGAAGCATGGGGGGTGCCCTGTCCTCAGCCCTGCTCCCCGAGGAGACGCACCCCACTACTGCTTCCACCGCCTGACCCCAGGCTGAGCCTAGAGGGGTGAGGAAGCCACGGGCTGGTCCCCCAGACTTCAGCCGACCCCTGCCCAGCCCCGGCGCTTGGCGGTGGCCTCCCCCGCTACTTTTCAAGGGACGTGCCGCGTTCGCTCCTTTCAGGTGCCGGTCTGGGGTGGCCGCACGCCGCACCCCATCTCTCAGGGCTCCTGTCTGGGGCCGGCTCTGTGTGGAGCTGGGGCTCCAGGTCATGCCTTAGCTGTGCTGGGCCAGGGCGGCTTCGGGGCGGCTGCTGCGGCCTTTCCAGCCGGGCCGGGTTCTTGCGCCTCAGTGGCCTGGCCATCCCCTGGCCGGACATGGTGCCGCTGCCGGAGGCGCTGACCCCCGAGGCCAAGCCAGACTCTCCATCGCATCCCATCCGGCCCGCGAGCGTCTGGTGTCTTCGAGCAAACCTTGTCTTGTCCCTTGCGGACCCTGAGACAAAAGTGCCAGGGCGCCTGGCTGCCCTGGTCCCCACCCCCACCCTCAACCCCACCCCCACCCTGCGGGGCGCAGGCTGGGGCCCTGGCCTGCCTGCTCCCCAGGCCGTGGAGTCGGCGCACTGCCCCCCTTGGGCTTCCTCCTCGGCGCTTCTGCTGGGCGAGGGCCTGGGCTGTGCATGTGGGGAGTGGCGGGGGCACGGCTGTTCTCTCGCCTGGGCCTGGCCGGGCTTCGTTGTGGGTAGCCGAGGCCGTGCTGGGGTGCAGACCTCTCTCCCCAGCTTCCTGGAGGTGTGACTGGCCGGCCGTAAAGCCGGCTTGTGTCCAGGGCACAACTGGGTCATTTTTGCTGAAGTGACAGGGTGTGTGGCCACCACCCCAGAAGGAGCTGCGCCCACTAGTCCCCGCAGCCTCGGCCGCCTCCGCCCGCCTCCTGGCTGGGCTGCGCTGGTGCTGGCCGCCGGGCTCGCCGCGCACTGGCCTCTGCCTCTCCTCACTGGGCGCTTCACACGTCCGCGCTGCTGCTCGCGCCCTTGCCCTGTGCTGCCGGGGCTGCCCATTCAGCCCTGGAGGTCGCGCCCCTGTGGGGGGGCGCCAGGCCAGGCTGGGGAGGCCACCGCTGCTCTCCCAGCCGGTGGAGGCCACAGCCTGGCTGGGGGGCCCCGGGACCCAGCGAGCAGGGCCAGGGTGGGCAGGCTGAGTCTGGGAGGGCGGCTAGAAGTTTCCAAGCGGGCGGAGCACCCCGCTCCTTGGCCCCCGGGAGCTGTGACCACAGGGAGCCTTCCAGGCACCGCGACCCCTGCCTGGACTGGCCTGGGGTGGCCTTCAGACCCCCTCCCAGTGCACCGCGGCCGCGGAGCCCCTGTCCACAACCCCGGGCGCCCGGCGGGCACGTGCTGTCCCGTCCGCAGGAGCCGGGTAGCGGGGGCCGTCCTGCTGGCAGGGGGCCGGACGCAGACCTGCCCGAGGGGTGCACAGAGCCCCGGGGAGGGGCCAGCGAGTGTCGCTGCCCCTGCTGCCCACCCAGCTCTCCTGCGGCCGGCAGCACTGCGGTGGGGGTGGGGCTGGGGGCCACTCAGCGGGAGCCCCGTCGACCTCGCTGCCCCAGCCCTCCCGCCGCTGTTCTGGGGGATCAGGGCCAGGAACACCCAGCCCACCCTCGTTTTTTGTGCTGGAAGTGAGCGCCTGCGCCCGGGGGCCGGGCTGGCGTGGTCTCTGCCCCACGCTGCTCAAGTGCGGGCCTTGCCTGGCTGTGTTTGCTTTTCCTTCCGCACAGGATCTCCACGGCCCGCCCAGCAGCCCCCCGGCCCAGTGGCTCCGGGAGCCGGGACAATGGAAACCACACCCACAGCTGGCTGTGTCTGGGGGTGTCAGGCCGGGCATGTCGGAAGAGGCTTTGGGCTCCCTGCGCTCCACCTTCCCTGCTCCTGGGCTCTGGGGGAGGCGGTGAAGGAGCAGGATGGAAGCACCCCCGGCCCTGCGGGCAGCGCCTCACACCCTTGCGCAGGGGGCGCGCGCAGAGTGGCGGGGCGGCCTGCTCTGTGGGGCCTTGTGCGTGGGGCCCCTTGGCGGCCTGAGGGCAGGGAGTCCCACAGGGGCTTCTGCGCCCGTGGACACAGGCGGTGTGCGGCTGAGTCGGGCAGCGCACCCACAGCTCGTGGGGCCGCGCTCCCGCCGGGGGTCTCTGGCTTGGGGACCGGCCTGTGGGTGTGGGGGGCTGACTGGCGGAAACACCACCAAGGCCCTCGGTGGCCACGGCCTTGGGGTTGAAGAGCACCAGGCGGGAGTGGCTGGACCCAGGTCAGCCCAGCTCCCACTCCCGGGAGGCACCTGGCGGGGCAGGAGGCCGTGTGCCCTGGGTGCCACCCGGAGGGCTTTGGCCTCAGCTGCTGGCCTGAAGCTGCTGAGGCCAGTGGCGTGCATGCGTGCCCTGAGCCGGTCCCTGCTCCCCGTGGGGGCACCTGGCCTGGGCCTTCTGGATCCTGCGGTGGGGACGCAGGCACCCTTTGGTCACCAGTCCACGCGCTTGTTCCATGAAGGGGCCCTTTCATCTCCCCGGCTGACCGCCCCCCCAGGGCTTGGGGGAAGCTTTGCTGTCACCAAGGGGGGTTGGCCAGCTGGGGCCACCCCGGGGCTCCCTGGAGAGCAGGTGGCTGTGCTTGGGCCTGGCGGGCCGCTGGTCGAGGCTGACTTTCCAGGGGCCCGTTGGCCTGCCCGCTTGCTCCCCGGGCCGTGGGGACATGGCTGAGCCGCGCCGGGAAGGTCCCGGAAGGCGGTCATTCTGCTCACCAAGCCGCTCCTGAGCCGGAAGCTTCCAAAACAAGTCTGCCTCGGGCGGCGCCTCTCTTGCTGTCCCCTGACGGGGGTGCTGGGGCCGCACACCCCCAGTGCACAGCTGCCTGCTGCAGCCAGGCTGGGGGAGCGGAGGCGGGGCCGCTCGGGTTGGGTTTCAGCACCACCCCCCCTCGGTTAGTGCGGCGCCCCCGGGAGGGGATGGGGTGAGGCTTCACGGAGGCACCCCAGGGCAGGGACTTGCCTTCACGGCCCCTTCCAGCTGCCTTGCTCCCTGCTCGGGCTCTGCAGCAGGCCCTTAGGTGATGAGCTGGACCCCACGGGCCTCCCACGGGCGCAGGCCAGCTGGGCACTGGGGCAGAGAGAAGGGGCCTGGGCGCCCGTGGGCCAGGAAGACCCTGCGCGGCGAGCGGGTGCTCGGGGCGTCGTCAGCCCTGGACACGCCCGTCTGCGGCTCTGCAGCTTCCGCGGTGTCGCTGGCTGCGGCGACCACTTCCTGCAGCCCGTCCCTGGCCCGGCAGCGGCACCTCAGGGGCAGGCGGGCGGACCCGCAGTGGGCTAGCGCGGCCTGGAGGTGGGGCCCTGGGTGCTGCAGGCCCTGGGGAGCACACCCTGCCCGCCCCGGGAGTGTGGGCCCCGCGGCTGCAGCCAGCGGCTGGCGGGGACCCGGTCGGGTGCGCGTCACCAGACGCCACGGCAGACGCGCCCGCTCCCCGCTCCGGAGCCCCTGTGCCACGCCTGGGGCGCGGCGGCCGTGGGCGCGGAAGGGCCTGGTGCGGTGCCCGGTCCCCCGGGATGCCCATCCGGCCTGTCTCTGCTGCCGCGGGAGGGGCGGGGCCTGCTCCTCGGGTTCCCGGGGCCGGCGGGGCGGGGGCGCAGGGAGCGCGGCTGTGGGGTCGCCCTCAGCGAGGAGGTGCTGCTGCTGGTTTCCGGGGCCAGCCCTGGCGCCTTCGGGCTGGCTCCCTGTGCTCTGTTCTCTGTGGCCCTGGCCGTGGCCCCGGGGGGACAGAGCCTGCTCCTCTGGCGCCGTCCGCGCGTTCCTGCCGCCGACCCCACGTGGGGCTCTCGGG